AACACTAAGATTTCAGAAATAGAAAATACACTGAAAGGACAAAGAAATACAATCAAATCAATGGAAAACCGAATTACTAAGCTTGAAGAAAAATCTCTCAATATTCATCTGCTACAGAACAATCAGAAAAAAGACCACCACCACCAAAAATTCAAAGAAAGTCTAAGATTCACAGGGGACACTATCAAGAGGAATAATTTATATGTGATAGGAATTTCAGAACCAGAGACAGGCAAAAACAAAAACATAGAGAATACTGTCCAAGAGATGTTGGAAGAAAACTTTCCAAGCGTCATCACAAGAAGACAGCCATTCAAAAACGGTGAATGAACTCCAAACAGGATAAATCCCCAAAGAAAGTCACCAAGACATGTTATAATCAAGCTTTTCAAAACCAAAGTTAAGTTAGGGATCCTGAGAGTCACTCAGGAAAAAGGAAACGACACCTAACAAAGAGAACTACTAACAAGACTATACTCTGATTTCTCAGCAGAAACTATGCAGGCAGGATGACAATGGAATGGCATATATAAAACTCTGAAAGAAACAAATTGCCAACCAAGAGTCATATAACCAGAAAAACTGTCCATCAAATATGATGGAGAAATTACATCATTTTCAGACAAACAGAAATAAAAATAATTTGTAAAATCCAGGCCAACCTTAGAAAAAATACTGAAGGAAGTTCTTTGGACAGAGAACCAACAACAGCATATAACAACTTGAGACTAACATACATGAAACTATCACCTACATTCAGTCCAGATACAATAGTATTCAAAGAAAAACAGACCTATAAGACTGAAAATAGAGATACAGATATACAGTTGCAACCACCACCACCACCATATAGTAAAATGAGGAAATACTGTAGTTACAGAACTTTCAAATGAAGAGGAAATCAAATATATTTTTTTAAAAAATACATAAATTTAACTAAAACTCTAAAAATGAGACCAAGCCTTACTCCTAGCGCTAGCCCTAGCCCAGCCCTTACCCTTAACACTCACCCTAGTCCTAACCATATCCTAACAATAAACAAAGTCCTACCTAGGTCAAGCCTAGATCTAAGCATAGTCTCAACCCTAACCTTCACTCTTCTACCCATCCCATGCCCCCAAAATTGAGGTACGGTCTCAGTCAACAACCTAAGTTCCTGTAAGAAACTAGAAATAGATCAAAATCAATCCAAAGCAAGAAGAAAGAAAATTAAAATTAGTAAAATTGCTAAGTCTTTAACAAAGCTAATAAATGTAAGAGAAGACACAACTGTAGTCGTTACACAGATAAATACTATGAACAACTTTATATTTAAAAATTGGCTACTTAGAAGAATTGGGTCAAGTCCTTAAAAATCACAAACTAGAAGAATAAACACACAATCTAAATAATGCAATACGCAGCAAAATTCCAGGTCCAAATTCTACCAAATATTTTTAAAGAATTCTACCAAATATTTTTTAAAAGAAATAGCACCATTTTATACAATCTTTTCCAGAAAATACAAAAGAAGAGAAAACACTTTCCTTTTGTATTAGATCTAGTTTTTCTCACTTAGCATAATGCATTTGAGATTTACCCTTATTGCAAGGTTTCTTCAACAACAGTGACTCCTTTCTTTAGTAATCTTACTCTCCCTCAGTTCTACCTATATAGGCTATTAAATTTGTCCATCTGAGTGTGACAAAAGGCAGGATTTGGCTAGACCTGCAGTTTTGGGTTTTGGGTTTTTTTTGTTTTGTTTTTATAATGGCAAACTATCACTTTAGATGAGATAGTCTTAAGTAATTAAATTGGGGGCAAGGGTTTGTGGGGAGAAAACAGTATCAATTTAAACTCTTTCTTCCTTCTTATATGAATTGTCTAAATTTGTGTTTTTCCTTTCCTGCTTGAATTTATTTAAAATGCCCAAGAATCAAGTATAGAAAAGATGTCATTATAGTTAATTACATGCCCCTTATAAACGAATTAAATGCTCCTTTTTGGAGTCCTGGTATGGCACTGTGGGTTAATATTGTTGTTGTTGTTGTTAAGTGCCGTCGAGTCTATTCCGACCCATAGTAACCCTGTATAGAGTTTCCAAGGAGCAGCTGGTGAGCTTGAACCACCAACCTTGCAGTTCAAATGACTTTGCAGTCTGACATATTAGCCCACAGTGCCACACCAAGACTCCGTGGGTTAATGTGCTGGACTGCAAAGTCGGTTTGAACCTCAAGGTTGGTGATTCGAGCTCAGCAGATGCTTCCTGGAAACCCTATACAGGGTCGCTATGGGGCAGAACTGACTCCATGGCACTTAACAACAACAACAATAGAAGACAAACAGCCATGGTAGTGAAGTGGATAACAAGCTGGGCTGCTAACTAGGAATGAGGCCAGCATTTCAAATCTACCAGTAAAGAATTACAGCCTCGGAAACCCTACACAGGGTCACTATACGTTGGAACCGACTCCACGGTACACAACCACCACCGCCAATGTTAAGATACTCATCTGTATAGTTCCCAAAGTGCAAATCCTACAAGCTTAGATGACTGCTGCTCTTCTATATGATGTTTATAATTTCCTTTACTTAATTGCCAGGTAGATTTTTATAGTGATAGTTTATTTTCAGGAAGATCTTTCATTTTTAAAAATACAGGAAGAAAACTGCTACATTGGGAACAACAGAAAAGATCAAGACTTAGGCCGTAAGCCCTGAACAATATTGAGGGTTATTACATCCAAAGTTAAATTGGCTATTAAATTTCTTAATTATATAAAGTATCAAAAAATACTAACAGAAAAAAATGTATCAAAGTCATATAAAATATATGAGCATATAGCATGTCATAACTATGAAAGTGATACCATACATTAAAAAATTAATACCTCCAAAACTAAAATCAAAACACAACACAATTACTTTCATGCAAACTCTCTAAAGGGGAATATAATTTCATGTCCTATAGAGTTGCTACGAGTCATAATTGACTCAACTGCAACAGGTTTTGAATAAGGGATAAATGGTGACAATGTAGGAACGTAATACATTCAAGTCAAAATGGATGTCCTACAATAGAAGGAAATGAATTTAGACAATTTCTATTAATATATCTAGAATACAAACTTAAGAGATACGAATCATATCTAACATAAAAAAGATTGTGCAGGATAGAATGAAGCAGTAGCTAAAAGATGACTTAAGAATTATTTACTATAAATGCTAAATTGATGGGGTGGTTTTGCCCCTTGGACATTTGGCAATGTAGCACATCTTTGGTTATCACAAGTATTATTACTGGTACTGTGCCAGAGTTACTGCTAAACATCCAACAATGCAGATGGTACCCCAACTTAACAAAGAATGATATACTTCAAAATGTCAATAGTGTCCTGTTGAGAAACTCCATAATGATAAAATTACTAATTCTGTGGTAAATCTCACAAATTATGATAATCTAAAACTAATGCACATAAAACAATACAATTTCAATATAATTATAATATAGATACAATTGTCAATATAGAACCAGCTGCTGTTGGGTCCATTCCAACTCATGGGGACCCCCTGGTGTGCAGAATAGAACTGTGTTCCATAGTTTTCAATAGCTGACTTTTTAAAAGTAGGTCATACCCAGGGTTTTCTTCTGAGGTACCTCTGGGTGGATTCAAGCAACCAACTTCTCAGTTAGGAGCAGATTGCACCACCCAATACACAATGCAACTAACATTTGTTAGTTCACATTTTATAAGCTACTCAGCCGCAACCTTTTCCCTTCCTTCCCTTCTCTCTATTCTCCTAATCTTGCTCCCTTTACATTTCTTTTAAGACACCTTCTCACTCCCAAACCTCCAATTCTTTTGAGGAGCAAAAAAACCCAGAAAGCATTTGTATCATCTATGCTGCCTGATGTCTAAAATTAGTCGAGTCTATAATCAGAAATTTATATATTCTGTTCAGATTTTTAAAAAGAACATTATAAAAGGTGACCTTTCCAAAGCCACCTCAAAAGTGAGACCTGACTTGTAATTCAATTTAAAAAAACATCTCAAATGTTTCTAAATCATAATGGAAAAATCTACTCTTCTGGTATTTCATTAGCACAAGGTGAGCTCCAAAAGCTCACTCCTTGTTTCTAACAGTCTTTCAATTCACCTCAGCTGCAATTAGTAAATACCTACAAGTTTACTGGATTTGTCTTAAATCTTAATTTTAACCGTCTTAGATCAGAGAACAAGCCTATTTTTAACCTATTTATATTTTTCATGATTTTATTTAAATACTGTTTCAGTCTGCATCTTTTTCATTCAACTATCTCCATAAGAAAGTATTTCAATACTTTGCAAAATTGAAAAATATTCTTATCTATAATTTGTCCAGTGTCATTAAATATTTTTGGAAGCACAATTAATTAAACCTCTATAATAAGCACTAAACCCCAAGGTTGGTTTAAACTGCAAGGTCAGTGGTTGGAATTCACTGGCCACTCCTTGGAAACCCTATACAGGGTCACCATGAGTCAGAACTGGTACTTAACAACAACAAAATCTGTACATGGATAAGTTCAGATTTAGAACTTACTCGTATTTTCAATAAATACAAAAATAAAATTTATTTTTCAAATAGAAAGGAATCAATATTTACAGTACTAAACTGAAACTAGACAAGATGTGCTTATGGTACCATAATCAACAAAATGTGGCGATAAGTTTGAAAGATGCCATTCTAAGTAATTAATTATCTGTCTATAGAGATCCAGTGTAAGCTATTATTGTGCCTTATTTTTAAAGCCACTACTAAAAGCATATGATTATATCCAGTCACCTATGCACCCAAACAGAAGCAAAAATATTTTCAATATAATATTCTGTGAATATTAAATAGTTAATGAAATGAGCTAAACCAGTATAGTGTGATTTCTTGCTTTACAGAACTTGTTTTAGAATTGCTTCAGGGCACTATATCTTCTTAAAGCTAGCATATACTCAATGCTCAATAGTGCAGAAAAATTCACTCACCATTTCAGTGGTGTGCCTTCATATTCAAACCATATCTCACTAATGTCTTCTTGTCTCATAACCTTCTGAAAGTGCTTTTTCACTTTGTCAGTTACCAACGTCAAATAACTTACTCTTGGCAAAAGCAACTGAAATGAAAATTTGTAAAACCATATTTATTTACTAGTTATTTTTTCAAAAAATAAATATACTGATATATCTTAAGATTTTTAATTTTAAGAATACTCATTTTCTTTGCACTATTTTGAAGACTCCACACAAAATCAATAGCTTTTTATAGAAAATCAAAGAGACTAAGACATTTTCAATTTTCTAATGAAGCCAGCTTGCAGAATAAATTCATATTTAAAGTCTTTCTATAAAACTTTTTCCAAATAAAAACACTATCATACTATTTAAAGATGTTAAAAGTTCTACTAAATTTAACTTAAAATTAAAACGATTTACCTGAGTTAATTAAACTGTTTCAGAAGTGCTGGTGTGGCATTGCGGGTTAACGCACTGGACTACAGGTAGGTTTGAACTGCAAGGTCAGTGGTTCAAGCTTACCAGCAGCTCCTTGGGAACCCAATGCAGGGTCACTATGAACTGGAACCAACTCAAAGGCACTTAACAACAAGATAACCAACTAGTCTTGATGTTTGCCTTGACCTATCAATCAAGCCTTGTAAACTGGTCCATCATGTTTGGACAATCTACTGTGTATTAGATTTAGTTGCAAAAGACAAAGAAAAATAAACTTCTGTATGAGGTTAAAATAGAGGTACATAAAAAGTGCTTATAAAAATGCTTGAGATGGCAACAGAAAGGCCATCAGAGGTCAAACAGAAATTTTCATTTGTTGAACAGAGGTCCACGTAAAAGGAATGCATGACCGAGAATAGTACACACAAACTGGTCTAGCAGTTCTCCATTTAAAAAGTGAAAGCACATGAGCTTAACAGTCAAGAAACTGCTAAGTGCTCTGGCAATATTATATGAGGAGATGAAGGCCTGGTAAAGCATGGAAATCACAATAGAATTTGGTAATTACTAATGTGGCACTGTAATGAGTCCTGGTGTGGCATCACAGGATAAGCACTCAAGCTAAAGGTCAGTTTTAACTGTCAAGGTCAGTGGTGGAAATTCACCAGCCACTCTTTGGAAACCCTATACAGGATCGCTATGAGTTGGGTCGCTATGAGTTGGAACCGACTCCACGGTACATAACAACATGAGTTGAAACCAGCTCGACAGCACTTAAAATAACAAGGTGGCACTGTAGGAGCTCTGGTAGCGTAGTGGTTACGAATCGGGCTGTGAACCTTAAGGTCAGCAGTTCGAAACTACCAGCTGCTCCGCAGGAGAAAGATAAGGCTTTCTACTCCTGTAAAGATTTACACCCTCGGAAACCCCTGTACAGGGTCGCTATGGGTCGGAATCGACTCGACGGCACTTAACAACAACAACAACAACAACTGTAGGATCAGCACTGAACTGGGAACCACAAGATTAGAATTCAAACTCACCAGCTGCTCCTTGGTAACCCTACATAGGGTCACTATGAATCAGAACCAACTCCACGGGACTTAACAACAACGAGGAAAGTGGTAATATGATTGAACAATATGATAACTGTAATTAATGTCACTGAACTGAACATGTTCATCAGTGTTTTATTCCCAGAAAATGTACCCAGAAAGGAACCATGAAAGCAAATTTTGGAAAATTGTTTACAATTTATATAAATAACCAAAAGCAAATAAAGGAGGAGGCTAACAAAAATTCATGTTTTTGTTTCTTCCAGGAGACACTCTGCACATTTAATGCTCTCCTAAGCCTTCATTTACTTGTTATCAATTATTTTGTTAGTTTTTCAGCACCTTTGTGAGTCTAACTCTACACCATTCGCTGTGTTGTTTATTCGAGGTGATGTCTTTTGAAAAGAAAATCAAGTAGAACTCTTGAGCTGGTAAATACATCCAAAGAAATATTTTGATCTAAAGAAATGCTGAAGACTCGAGAGGAGAGTGGAGCTACCAGCTGACGGGAAGAGAGGACATATGCACAGGAGCGCCTACACTTGCAGATGATACCCATTTGATCTGGACCGGATGAGTGGATGATCAGAGATCAACCAAGAGAGGAAAGAAGGGGGGTGGGGGGGGAGACTGAGCTGATACGGTCTGATGAACTTGACCTATACCTATGGAGCAGCAACTCAAAAGAGGGAACAAATCCTCACAGCAAGAAACATTCACACACAGAGAGTGGACAGAGAAGGGCAGCTTGGACATTGGATACTCAAATGGGGAGGTGGGGACTACAAAGGCAAGAAGTGACTGGCTTACAAGCTTTCAAGAGGGAACCAGGTGCTAGGGAGCATGGCGGAAGGCAGAACCTCCAGTAGGTACTATTCAATCTGTCTGGGCGGAGATGATGAAAGGAGATACAGATGGGTAACTCGTGATACTGTAGTGAATAATGCTTATCAGGACGGACTAAGAGAGTTGGAAATGCAAAGGGGGAAGTTTTGTAACAAGGAAGGGAGTGATTAATTCTCCAGGATAGGAGTGGAGGCCTCTGGGACCATCAATGGAGAAGAGCTGAGAGCAGGACCCTACCCAGAGAAACAGAGATGCCTGATACAGAGACAGAGATGATGACATGGAGTGATGAAGCGACTGGGGACCTTGGACCCAGAGAGGGAAAGGGACTGTGGGCCGAAAACTGGGGGGAGGAGGGGGACGTGTAGGGGGTAGGTTTCTGGGATATATCCTTTGGGTGGTTGATGATGCATGGAGGGGATTGGAACCATGGCAATGAGATGTTATACGATGGAATGAATGCAAAACTAAAGTTCTCCCATGTAAAGTATCATATAATTCACAATAAAACATTTAAAAAAAAGAAAGAAAGAAAGAAATGCCATGGGTGTAAAAGTGTGGAGAAAGAGGTGGCAGTTAGCATGCCCCATTAGGGCACAGAAGATATTCATACTATGAACAAGCTGCTGGATACTACCTTGGTTTCAATAGAACATATGGTCGTCTTTAAAAAAAAAAAAAAACAGAAAGAAAAAGAAAGCAACTAGAATATAACTATGAAAGAAAAAGGAAACATCTATTACACATTAGATGTTTTATATGACGTATCCCCTCTATTTTACATACAGATTAAATTCAATAACTAGCCAGAATCACATGCTATTAATTTTTAAAAAGGAAAAGGTATTTTATAGTCAGAAATGGCAGAATTAACAAATGCAACTAGACATCTCTAAGAAATTAAAACAGCATGATAAATGAGCTATTTTTAAAAATAATTTTAAGTTATTAGTCTAATAAAAGTTTTATATATTAAGTCTAAAACTTTCATTTAAAATGATTGTTGGGCATTACATCTTAAAATCTGTTCTGTAAAGAATATTAACTTATGGAGATGATAATAAAGAAGACACATCTCAATGGATGTAAACTCTTTGGAGATTACTACATTTACATGCCTAGGGTTTAAATAAAATTGTTGAGGAATTCACAAACAATTTTAATCACACAAAAACTTCAAAATAAGAAAGAACATTAAAATGCAAGCCTTATTTGTACAGAGACTTTCATTTGCTTTGGTTGGTTGGTTGGTTCCGTTCCGACTCACGGTGACCCTCTACACCATAGGGTTTCCGAAGCCATAAATCTCTTTGCAAGCAGAAAGCCTCATTTTTCTCCCATGGAATGGCTGGTAGTTTCAAACAGCTGACCTTGAGGTTAACATCCCAACTCATAACCACTACACAACCAGAGCTTCATGTTCGATGCTACGTTCCCAATGCCCAATTTGTTACTGTTGTTAGATGGCACTGAGTCTGTACCAACTCATAGTGACCGTATGCACAAAAGAACAAAACATTGCCTGGTCCTAGGCCAACCTCAAAATTGTTGCCATGCTTGAACCCACTGATGCTGTCACTTCCCCAATCCATCTCACTGGGAGTCTTCCTCTTTTTCTCTGACCCTGCACCTTACCAAATATGATATCCGTCTCCAGCGATTGGTCCCTCCTGACAATATGTTCAAAGAATGAGAGATGAAGTTTAGCCATCTGGCCTCCAAGGAGCACTCCGGCTGCACTTCTGCTAACACAGATCTGTTTGTTCTTTTGGCAGCCCATGGCACTTTCAATATTCTCCTCCTACATCATAACCCAAAAGCATCAATTCTTCTACGGCCTCCTGATTCACTGTCCAGCTTTCACATGCATATGAGGTTACTGAAAATACCATGGCTTGGGTCAGTGCACCTTAGTCCTCAAGCTGACATCTTTGCTCTTCAACACGTTAAAAGGGTCTTGTGCAGCAGATTTGCCTAATGCAATACGTTGTTTGAATGCAATACGTCGTTTGATTTCTTGAGTACTGCTTCCATTAGTGTTGATAGTTGATTGAAGAAGAATGAAGTCCTTGACAACTTCAATCTTTACTCCGTTGATAATGTTGTGAGGATAAAGTAGTGAGGATTTTTGTTTTCTTTACATTGAAATGCAACCCATACCGAAGGCTGTGCTCTTTGATCTTCATAAGTAAGTATTTTAAGCCCTCTTCACTTTTCAGCAAGCAAGGTTACATCACCTGCATATAGCAGGTTGTTAGTGAGTCTTCCTCCAATCCTGACGCCACGTTCTTCTTCATATAACCCAGCTTCTCGGATTATTTGCTCAGCATACAGGTTGATTTAAATATGGTGAAAGAATACAACCGCGTCACACACCTTTCTTAATTTGAAACCATTCAGTGTTCTCATGTTCTTTTTGAACAACTGCCTCTTGTTCTATGTACAGGTTCTTCATGAGTACAAATAAGTGTTCCGGAATACTCATACTTCACATTGTTGTCCAAAGCTTCTCATGATCCACACAATCAAAAGCCTTTGCATACTCAATAAAGCACAGGTAAACATATTTCTGGTGTTCTCTGCTTTCAGCCAAGATCCATCAGACATCAGCAATGATATCCCTCGTTCCACGACCTCTTCTGAATCTGGCTTGAACCTCTGGAAGTTCTCTATCAATGTATGCTTACATCCATTTCTGTATTACCTTTAGTAAAACTTTACTTGCATAGAATATCAAAGAGATTGTCCGATGACTTCCGCAT